CACAATTAGTAGAATTTTTCAAGAAATGTCACTCTCCGAATTAGAAACACTTCATCAACTATGCGAATTAGAAAGAACACAAATTTTACAATCACTAGCACTAGCAGTATTAAAAATACCCTACGCAGGATATTTACTATCGGGAAATAGATTAAATTTTCTTGATTATGAAGGAAACATATTATGGTTTTATACTTGCACTAAAAAAGTATCACCCTTATATGTTTTCGAAGATAAACGTTGTTAAAAAAGATTCCCCAGATTCTACAAAAATAAAGTACATTTTGTCGATACACTTTCAAGACGAACATATTTTTGGGATACCACAGTCCCATGTGGATCAGAAAACAGCCACAATGTCGTACAATTGAACCCTGACGAAGATAAAGACTATCTACTCACACCATATCCTACATTAATGCAATCACAAAAAAAGTTTTCGCCAGAAAGCATCCGAGCTATCGCTCGCAACCCAAACATTGAATTACAACCAATTGGATAATACTCTAAATCCGACATACAACATCAAATTAGAACACAGCAATTTCAAGAATTACTCACACAAATGGATACAATACAACGACAATCAATCGACCAAAATTTAAGAAAACTTGCCGAAACCGCAGGATTTGCAGATATTTATGCACAAGACTACAGCGGATATTTTAAGGATATTAATGATTACATATATTTAAACGGTGAAAAATACAGACCACAAGATATTTCGCCCATAAACAATTTTAGTTTTGTAACATTAAAAAACGAAATTCTCGCCTTTCTAGGATGGCCCTATTACATCTTAGAAAGATTGACTATTTTATACGCAATGTTTAATTTTATAGGATTTCTTTTCTCACTATTAAAGGGAATCTATAACACATGTTCTATACACCCACAAGTAAACTGCCAAGCAAGCCTAGCACAAATATTATTTGCAGGATTTTTTGGAATATTTTCATCATCAATAAATAAAAAACTTTTAGACGCGCAAATAAAAGAATATAACACAAAATTAGCCACAAGACCGAATACATACGACGAAGAACATTATAATACAGACACAACACCTACAGCACCACAAGTACCGGCCCTACCACAAAACCATCCATTATCATTAGTTCCCCCGAAATTTCCGAACCTTAGCAATCACCAATAATCCAAATTTCAGGAACACAGCACAAAGCCCCATTCAACACAACGACAAATCATTCACAAAATGATAATACGTATGAACAAATTATTGAACAACCCCATACCACCACTTTTCAGTCTCAACATAATCATTTTTTTAGCCCACGATGAGCCGACAAATTGGAGCCCTCCATCGCTCAAATTCCCACACAGCCAACCTCCAGAATCCAATCCCAATTATTCCACTTTTCGCTTTCCCGCCACCCAATTTCCCAGTTATTAAAGTACCATCAAGCACGAATTCAGACACTAACTCCGGTATTTCAGTTTTTCATACCATCTCACAATTTAACAACTCCGACATCGAAACTCCTGACGAATTTGCAAACTCCGAACCATCTCCCTTTACCCATGCCCAGACCAACCCCTCAGTTTTTTCACAACTCCCTTTCAACCCATCCAAGCCAGTCATCCACTCCCATCCATTTCCACTCCATCTTATGCTTCCCAAGTAACCCCAACCTATTCCCCATTCACTTCTGAAATATCAAATAATAACTCCCCAGATACTGTCCAAATCTCCGAAGAGCTCGATAATTTTATTACATTACAACAACAATTAACATACCCCCACACTATTAACATCCACCAATTGTCATCCACAGCAACATCATCAAATCCACCAACGCCTACACCGCTATCAGATTACACCCCATCATTAGCTCAATCATCCACATCTTGTGAAACATCCACTAGCACTAACCGAGCTTACTGCACTTTTAAACGAAAGTTCCCAAATCACCCATTCACAATCAAACCCGGAACAGCCGAAGAGTATATCACCCACCCAGAACACACAAATACAAAGAACTTCCTTCAAATAACCTTACCCTCGTTTCCACAATAAACTTAAAATACATCTACCACCATTACTAATGACACAAGACATTTTGTTGATGAGCACATTTTAATGCCAACACTTCATTGAGCAGCGTATTACCACTATAGCAACCCTCTTTCTATACCACTCACTAATGCACATGATGATAATTAAAGAAGCAAAAATCTACTGTATAGACTCACAACACTACTAACACCTCGACAATTTATATATATTGGATTTAAAAAGTTACTAATAACATTCACCGCACCCCGAGCTAACGATTTCTCCATTGAATACTACGACCACAACATCATACGCCCTAACCAAGATCAATTTTTAGATGAAGACCGTTTTGCAAACCCACAACTAACCGAAAAATTTTTTATTAAAACACCATACCTTTTTACACTTAATATTTTTGATAAAAAGCACGACCATATAGTTTCTGAAGCACTAATTGACATCCAAGCATACGAAAGCTTCTATGATAAATTTCAGTTATTTTCACTAACCTTTCTTTTTTTTTCATCACAAGAACGCGATTTGCACTGTTCCCATGACATAATGTTACGCACTAAACAAACACATACTTACACATTATCGTTATATACAAAACCACAGTTCGTTAACTCGCAATACACGTCACCATTTTTTCTTCATTTTACATATTGCATTAAAAATACTAACCTCCACGGCATCCTCCGTAACTACGATCCCATTACCCAAATGTATATACTCTGTCCCCTCACGAAGACCTTCAATGATGAAGAATCAAGACCCTTCATTAGCCCGCATGAGTTCATCCAACCTATTGAAATTCCCATACTAGAATTCATTCACAATACTAAATATAATCACAAAATTTACAACCTAATACAAAACACACCTCATGAGTTCGCAGTAGGCACCGAAGTACTAAACACCATCAAAGCACTTCAATTGCTTTGGCCACTGCTACAAACTAAAAACGTCATTCGCATACTAGCCAAATTACTAACAACATCCGATTTGATTCACGAAATCTTCCCCCATGGCTTTTTTCCCGATGACTAAGGTAAGTATAATTAAAATAAATTTAACTAATAAATTCGAATTGTACTAACCATTTTTTATAAATGTTTAAATTCTCTTTTTAGTCTTTTTACCACCATCATCTACAAAAACAGAAAAAGAAATATACAAATTTGTTAAATTAGAATATAAAACTAGTAATTTGTTTTGCTAAAACTTATTTGCTAAAACTATTTTGTTATACTAAATTTTTCGCACTAAATAACGTAGTAAAATTAATACCCAATGTACTAATCTCATTTATAAATTATTTCCCCAGAAGCAGTAAAATTAATATACGATGAAAATTTATAATTTACAATTTCCCCAAATGTAGTAAAATTCAAATTTCAAGCAATAAATTCATAAAATGAGAAAGCAGTACTAACCTTTTCAGTGTTTTCATTCAATCGCCTGATCCGACTTACAAGGCATCCCTTCCAAACACGAATTTCACGCCATTCCCAAACGAGGCTGAACACAAGACAGTTCTCCACTAATACAGAGAAACCTGACATAGCAAACCATTTTGAAATCGGATTGATTTCATTGGAGATCGCATTCGTTGTCGAACGACAAGACGATAACTTCATGTCCATCATTCCAGTGTTCTGGAACGTTTCTCTTCAAGGAGAAACCGGACAAGAAATATGTTCGCCAAATACCAACGTTCATCATCCATCCTTCAATTGCAGAAGAAAAGAGATAAAACTCAAAAACTCTGTAAACCCCGGATGGATGGAACCTGATTCAAACTACATTTCATTATTTCGTATAAATTAGATATTTTATCACTGTAAAATATTTAATATTAACCAATCATAATCCATCTAACTAACAACCCACTTATTTGTAAGTGCTGAAATTACTTTTACTTTCAGCACCAGAGATATTTGAATTTAACTTAGAAATTAGTTACCTCTCCTCGAGAACTTCAGCAGCCGCAATAAAACTAGTATACTCTAGATCTATTGAGCCTAGCAGAGACTAGTTAAACACCCTGAGGCTAGTAGATATAAGAGTAAGATTAGGATCGGTATTAGACTAAGAAGTTGCACGAATCTATCCGGCCGAAAATAAGATAGCGTGACGAGCAGACGGTGTACCCTATCCGAAATTACTCTATGAGTTATAAACCTTAAACATAACTCAGGTTATACGTTTACCGGTTCTCCTACCGTCCCTCAACAAACCCCCCCTGCCCCACCTAGCTGTTTGGATTCGTATTGTACAATGGTCACGTAAGAGCTGATCGTCTCATTGCTAAAATATTTGGCCCTCATAGACAACTTTGTAAAATCAACCCTATACCCGTAAAAAAACTTATATGCTAGGTCGGGGGGAAACGGTAGAAAACCCTTTCGAAATGATAACCATTTTTTAGTTTTCAAGTCACCTGCGAAGTGTTCAAACATCAATGCTCAGCAAGCCAACAACATCCAATTATTTTGAAGTACCATACTTTCCAGCGATTTTATAACTTTCGGTGCGCATTAAGAAAGCAGAAAACAAACTTTCAATTGAAAATTCCAAACTTCTAATTTTTAATTTGAAAATGTCAACACTGAAGTTCAGTTCTACATTTGAAACAAACTTCCAAACTTTCAGTAATTTTTCTAACTATTCGATCATCAAGAAATAAACCTTTCGCATTTTTTACAATGAAAAAAATGCACTCAAAATAATTTACAATTGTTGGATTAAAATCTCAACTTTTGAAGACAAATTAAATTTTATTGAACAAATAGATCAATTTTAAAAAACTGTTAACGATTTTCAATTCAAAAATGATAGAATGAAGGACCTAAAAATCTATTCCACTCTAGAAATGGAATACATTATTGCATCAGAATAGAAATGGAAACAAGGCTGTCAGAGAAATGCAAACTGAATCATAGAAACAACTTTTCAATCAATTTTTCAAATGTCATACTAGCTAAATGTGTCAATCGGATGTCAGCTATTCATCACTTTCATCTACGTAGTAATGTGCGCCAGATTTCTCTCACAAAACATCTTTGGAACGATTTAGCACATTTTTTATTAGATAAAACTTATATAGGAATAATTGATATGACCATCATGAATTAATTGTGACATTTAAATGGCAAGAAAGCAAGGCAAGTTACAGCACATATAACTGACAGGAAACAAAAAAAATCAAAAGCACTTCGACAGTCCTTAACATTTAAACGAACTTCATCCTGCCAAAAATCAAACTAGATCAATTAATTGAGGAACTTTCTCTGGGACGGGGCTGACAAAAACGCAAGTTCATCCATAAAAATCTTCCTTTAACCTTGCAATTGACTGATTCCCCCGTCGAAAAACTAAATCTCAATCTTGAGTATTCTTTCCCAAATTTCACAAGTAGTAGGTCGTTTTTGCGGGACAGGATTCTTATATTGGTTTAGAAGATTCTTCAAATCAGTGTTCAACTCGAAGTTGCTTTGACGTTTACCGTAGCATTGAAGAGATAAAGCCCCGAACGTATAGATGAGGCTTGGAGTTTTCATCGATTTCTTTCTGACTTCCGGTGCCAACGATTCGTCTAATCCTGTTTCATCACCAAACTCCAGCTCATAGTTCCATCTTTTTTTTTCATAGTCAATGTCTGTGAAGTAAAATCGTACTTTTGGGGGGCCTTGAAACCTATACGATTCCGGTCCGAACAAAAGACCAGCCAGTTTTTCGAGCAGCTTGTAAAAATCATCGAGTGTCTGTATGAGCCAATGAACATAAAGAATGAGATCGAAATATTGTCTCCTTTCAGAAGTCTGTCCATTCCCAAGACTTTGAAACGTAGCCTGGCATTCAAATCCATTTTCATTGTCTTGAGTCATAGGCACTGAGTCGAACTCTGCGTCGAGATCATCGGGTTCATCGTTGAAATAAATGGGTAACTCACTTCTTATTACTCCATCTGGAGTCTCTGCCATTGTAGCTTCTTCTGGTGGTGCAAGCACCGTTCCCATTACGCGCTCATTGGGTGAAGCAAGTTCAACATCCATTTCCATTTCCTCAGCTTGAGAATAACTGGCGTCAAAATAGCTATCTTCAATACCAGACCTACTCATGTTTGACTGAATATCCGATTCCTGCAAGCCAGGTAGATTACTTGCGGCAACCCCATCCGAGTAAGTTCGAATCTCAGACTGTTCGACATCAACTTTGTGATTTTCGAACCCTAAATTCAAATTTAGAACAAAAAAAACATAGCTTGAAATAAACGAACTCAAGAAAACAGAAAAAAGACTGACTTCAACAAATGCCCATGAAGCTTTTTGAATTTAAAGAAAACTTTATCATTGGCCGTTTTTTGATAAAATTAACCCATTTTCAGAAAACTGGACTAATAGGTAAAAATTGTATTCCGCAGGAAAATCTGAAAAATGAAACCCACTTTCGAAACTAGATGTCTTGCACTCCTGCATCGATAAACGAGTTCGCCTTCCTTTTAACAAAGGAAATAAACTGAATTTGAAATTTAAAAAGAAACCCGAAAAATCAAAACTATTTGATTTTTTTAAGAAAAGTTTAAGACCTATAGAGTGGGGTCATAAGCAATTTCACAACGTCATAAGCAATTTCAATTAGTGTATTTCAATTTCAATTGCTATAAACACTATAAAATTGCTTGCAGTAGGAGAAAAAAATGGCGACGTGACAACTAAGCCGACAAAACAAGCGGACAAACAATATATATCGACAATTTTTTTTTTTTAGCTAGCGTGTAACGCACCTCCGGTGCTTAAGAGGTTTAAAGAACATGAGTAGTATGCATTTAGTACACTAGGATCTGGATGGTTGTCATCCATGGACGACCATTAGGTATAGATCATAATGGTCACCATGTATTAAATGGCAACCAATATTCCTCATGTTTTACAAGACAACCAATAGTCCCTAACTATTAAATGGTGATCTGCAAAGATCCCCAGGAGAATTTTTTCCGAAAAATTTTTTCACACAAAAAAAAATCTGTCAAAATTTTTCATACACTGAAAAAAATTGAATTTCGTTTATCATTTTTAGGCTTCTGAATTATGAATAGATGATACCCAATTATACATTTGCATAACTAATTATCTTTACATCTAACTAATGGTCCCTATACATTAAAACTATTGATCTCTGCATAACTGATGATCTTTATATGTACAACTAATAATCACAATGCATGAATAATTACCCCTATGTTTAACTAATTCTCCCTATGTAACAGTAATGAGCCCTATGCTTAGCTAATTACTCTATAAATAACTAATTCGCCCTATGTAACACTAATGATCCATGTGTCTGACAAATGATTCTTTTATATAACTAATAATCCTTATGTATTCCTAATAATCCCTGTATAAAAAATAATCCCTATGTATAACTGATGACTTCGATACATAACTAATCATCCCTTTACGTAACTAATGATCTCTGTGGTAGCCAATGATCCCTGAATATAACTTATGGTCCCTTTGTATAATTAATGATCCCTATGTATAACTAATATTCCCTATGCCTACCTAATTACCCCTAAAAATAACTTATCCTCGCTATGTAACACTTATGATTCATGTATCAAAATTGATTCCTAGAAATAACTTATAATCCCTATGTATGACTAATGACCCCTGTAAATAATTAATGATTATTTTGTAAAACTAATGATCCCTCTTATAACTAATGATATCTAATTATACCATATGACCCCAAGTCTACAAAACGTGAAAACTGCTTTAGCTAAAATCAAGTTCGATCGAACGCACTGGATGAAAGGCTGAAGAGAGCGATGAACGAACGTGGGCATGGATGAATTGATGGAAAGTAGGCCTAATGATTAGTTTAACCGATGAAACGCTGGATAGACACATGGACGATAGATGGCTAGCTGGATTACTGGTTAGATGGCTTGATGTCCGAATGGGTAGAGGGTTGGATAGAAATATGGATGACTCACTGGAAAACTAGATGGCTGGGTGATGAATTGATGGAAGGACGGATATTTGGATAGAGATCTGATTGATGAATTGTACGATGAATGTCTAGATAAAATTTTGGTTTGATTGATTGCTGGCTGGATGAACGGATCATGCATGGCTTGATGAATGAATGGATGGCTAGACAGATGGCTGACTATACGGATGGATGTTTGAAAAACAGGATGGATGTTTGCTTAGATGATTGTATGGATGAATACTTTGATTGATAAATCGTCTGATGATTAGATGGCAAGGTGGATGTGTGGTAATCGACACGAATCATCTCAGTGTTCAAGTACAACATGGTTTTCTCGAAATTCGGCACAACATGATTAGCAAAGACTTTTTCATCCTGCTCATATTTGAAATTTTACACATTGGTTGATCACCGCTGACAGTTGTCGAGCAAAAAGTCGATCGTCCTTTGCTTTTTTGCATCAAAAGTCCCAGAAGTCGAACTCATCTTCATCAAAATTAGGTTCAATAATTTTTCGAGTTTTGAATGAAGGTGGTCTGAGCTGCGTTTTATATTGACTGTAGTTGTTCAGTTGGAGGACCGGCACTAATGCTAGCATTAGTCTTAGTAGCAGAAAATACTGGAAGTAAATAGAAATTTACAATTTCTTACATTTTTGTTTGAACAATCTCTATTTGCGGATCGACGCATTTGAACTCAAACTTTAGAAACAGTCGTAACAATTACACTCAGGGGTAGAAAAGATGCCTGAAAGACGGAACATTTCTTTCGTGTTTTCATTTTTTCTTTTTTAGAGCTTGGATCTGCATAACAAATATCAAATTCTACATAAATTTAGCTGTAGTGGAATTATCCATTTCATATCTACGGTTGGTTTTTGTCTTTAACATTCCAAGGTTTCTATAAATTTCTGAAAAAAGGGTTTCCAGTGTAGAATAAAAACCCACTTGGAAACTATGGGAGTTGAGAAAGCAAAAAAGAAAAGTAGAATGCTTTCAGTTTGTGTTAATTACTACTCGGTCCTGTTCAGGAATTCTTGACTATAACTTGTGGTTATTTATGTCTTTTATAGGAAAAATATTTCGCAAAAAGTTCAACTCCTACCTTGTTAGTATTGCTTAGTTTAAAAAACGAAGATTTCTGCATAAAGTGACAAATGCAAAGCATATGGAAAGCCACCGCAGATTGTATGAGGCAATTTAATCGTGTGCAGTCTTCATCCATTCCGTTCAAAGGTCAAACTCGAGATTTTTCCTACTTGCAATCTGATTGCTATCGAATAGCAGCAGGATATTCTGAGCGATAAAACTTCAAATCGTATGAAATAATTCCGGTAAGCGGGCGATCGTGGTAAAAGCGCAGGATTGGTTCCAATTCGCAAAGAAAGTTATTATGAATCAAAGTTTTTTCAAAGCAAGAGGAAACCATCTGGTGCCAAGACATTAAAGTATATACATGACAGAAAAGGAAAAAGTATTTTTTTGTATGAAAGAGTATATTGGTTTTTCTAAATATCCAGCTAGAATTTTTTCAATGTTTTCTAAGTTTTAAAATAAACATGCAATTATTTTTCATTATTTTGATCTGATGTTTCCTACTTGCGCTCTGATTGTTATCAAATATCAGCAGAAAATTCTAGTTTGATAAAACTTCAAAGCAAATGAACTAATTCCTGTTAGCCGGCGAGGGTGGTAAAAAGCGCAGGATTGGCTCCAATTTGCAAAGAAATTTAAAATGAATCAAAGTTTTTTTTAAAGCAAGAGGAAACCATTTGGTGTCAAGACATTCAAGTAGATACATGAGAGAAAAGGAAAAAGTATTTTTCTGTCTAAAAGAATATATTGGTTTTTCTAAATAACCAGCTGGAAGTTTTTCAGTGTTTTAAAATAAACATGCAATTATTCTTTCATTATTTTGATCTGATGTTTCCATTTTTATCAGTTGATTGGAAGTATTTACTCACTGTTGTTAAACATAAAAACTATATACTGTCATTGATATACAAAAACTAAAACACCTAATTTCATCATGGAAAAAAAACCAAAAACAATTTTACAGTGAAACTTTCTTTTTCCTAGGTTTATATTTTTTGAAGACCTTTACTATTTTTATAAGATAATCTCAATCTGTCTGACATGCCAAATAATTACTTTATGTTGCATGTTGAAATTTGTAATTCACAGACTCGAAACTGACGTTTTCCGATTTTGTTTTGTTACATTACTGATAGTATTTGATCACTGTTCTTATAATTAAAAACATGTATTTAAAATTAAATACCAATTTTATTACGACACCTAATGTTAAATGGATTATAAAACATAAAAAATCTTTTAGGTGAAATTTACTTTTTCCTTTGTATATTTTTTTGCCAGCCAAGTATTATAAAAAATTTTCCTAAACTGTCCGATGCGAAATCTAATCACTCCATGTATATACATGACAGAAAAGGAAAGAGTATTTTTTTTTGTATGAAAGAGTATATTGGTTTTTCTAAATATCCAGCTAAAATTTTTCCAAGGTTTTCTAAGTTTTAAAATAAACATGCAATTATTTTTCATTATTTTGATCTGATGTTTCCTACTTGCACTCTGATTGCTATCAAATATCAGCAGAAAATTCTAGTGTGATAAAACTTCAAAGCAAATCAACTAATTCCGGTTAGCCGGCAAGGGTGGTAAAAAAGCGCAGGATTGGATCCAATTTGCAAAGAAATTTAAAATGAATCCAAGTTTTTTTTAAAGCAAGAGGAAACCATTTGGTGTCAAGACAATAAAGTAGATACTTGAGAGTCTGACACGCCAAATCTCAATCTGTCTGACACGCCAAATAATTACTTTATGTTGCAGGTTGAAATTTGTATTTCACAGACTCGAAACTGACGTTTTCCGATTTTGGTTTGTTATATTACTGATAGTATTTGATCACTGTTCTTATAATTAAAAACATGTATTTAAAATTAAATACCAATTTTATTACGACACCTAATGTTAAATGGATTAAAAAACATAAAAAATCTTTTAGGTGAAATTTACTTTTTCCTTTGTATAATTTTTTGCCCGCCAAAAATTATAAAAAAAAATATGCCTAAACTGTCCGATGCGAAGTCTAATCACTCCATGTATATACATGACAGAAAAGGAAAAAGTATTTTTTTGTATGAAAGAGTATATTGGTTTTTCTAAATATCCAGCTAGAATTTTTTCAATGTTTTGTAAGTTTTAAAATAAACAT